TGTTTAGGTACACGACAAATACATGTCGTTCCAAAATTGGTATCCTTGGGTTGTATGCATCTTAAACAGCATAGTTTCTCGTATCCAGTCTAAATAAATCACATTATTTAGGTCTGTGACACTGATCTTGAAACCAACATTGCTCTGATCCAAGCCTCGTGTACAAATAACTAACCTTTTTCCATTTTGCAATCAATGCTGCATCTGCATGTCCCTGTTTGATACAGTAGTCGTATAAATCCCTAGTAATGGCCTTTCGCCTATAATAGATATCATAAATGTATCGAGTTCGTTGATGGTGCAAACGCATAATTGGCCATGCTGTCTCCACTTTACGCTTGGCTTCGGTTGGCTCGCTCTCAGCTACGTGTATGCCGTATCATATTAGCACATTCCTCAGTTATATCAGCAAATAATCCTTTTAAAAACAAGCCTGATCAATACACAGTCGTATTCACGTAAACTGCAACACAGTAGAGGTGTCGGTTATAATCAACAGCCAGTCTCATGGAATAATGTCCATTACATTTACTGGTCACTGTTTGAATTCCTCGACAGGGTTGGCTGGCATTTTGCCCATTTTTGTATACACAACTCAATGTTTGTATTGCAGTTTCAACACACTCACATGTGTTCAATCTACAAATTGAACATCACAACATTGGCTGATTGACATGAAATCAACTGCAATCTATTTTGTCGAACGCGAGCGTATCTGTAATTCTAGAATACAATAGTTTGACAAGATCACAACTCGATATCCGGACTGTTGTGAATCTGGTGATTGTACAACGAGTAGATCATTTCAGTTTAAAACTATAGTTTAGACTGAGATCATACAATGACTGCAGTGTCGATTGAACCGAGACTATCCAATCCAATCCAGTCAATGTAAAGTAAACCCCATGAAATATTCAAACATTGTATATGCAAACCAAAAACGGAGTTGATTTTACATGAATACGATTGTAAGATGATCATATTGGCTCAAGTGACCGAGTTCAAGCGTCCATATCAAAATGTGATAAATACTGACATGGACCAACACACCTTGTCTCATTTTTTGTGCAAGCTCAGTTAGAGTTGGCTCGATTAGCTCCCATCCTTCTGGAGGCGGTTTTGTTCCCCGTCTGACTTTTGGCATAAGCGGTCAGCTGCTGAATTCAATGCAAAGATTTTTGGTGTTAAACTCTGTACTC